TTCGTTGTTTGCCCCGCCTGCCTCAGGAGCATCAGTAACGAGCCTCATTCCCAAGTCCCCCTATCATTATTACGACTGTTGTGAGAGCAACTGGCAGCATCGACGGCCACTCGAGCTGTCGTTCCACTTGCGCGCCGCGCAGGAGAGATAGGCGTTTACGGCGTTTACGGCGTTGACGGCGTTGACGGCGTTGACGGCGTTTACGACGTTTACGACGTTGACGACGTTGACGACATTCCCTGGCGTTTCTCGTCCTAGTCCACAATATGTCGTTTCGCGACAGAGAGAGAGGTAGGCCAAACTCTGCCGCTTATCATCGGCCTGGCACAGCGGGCTTAGGGACTCTGGGAGAAAGGCGGGTCCCGCCGTATTCCGCGGGAGCTGGAGTAGGAGGTTTGCATGCCGGTGGCGGCTTCGGCGGCGGCGGTGGCAGCGGCGGCAGCGGCGGCTTCGGCAGAGGCTTCGGCGGCGGCCGCAGCGGCAGCGGCTTCGGCGGCGGCGGCAGCGGCGGCTTCGGCGGCGGCGGCAGCGGCGGCTTTGGTGGCGGTGGCGGCGGCGGCTTCGGCAACGGCTTCGGCGGCGGCGGCTTCGGTGGCGGAGATGGCGGCGGCTTCGGCGGCGGTGGAGGAACGGGAGCAGGGGCGGGAGCAGGAGGAGGTGGTGGTTTCTTAAGAGGTCTGTTTCGAGGTACTACGAATAGTAGTAGTAGCGGCGATGGTCGGTTAGGGGGCGACGCGACAGGGAAAAGTCTAGGCGCGTTTGACCGAGGACGGTACTACAACGGGAGGACCCTAGACTACGGGAAAGCCGGCGATCGTGGTAGTAATCATAATAGTTTGTTATCAGGGGTAATGCCGGAAGGAGGATCAGGCGCCGACGGGTTACTACCTTCGCCACTGGTTTCGCCAATCTTAGGTACCCCGTTACCTTCGCCCGCGGCACCTCTGCCCCTCGCTGCAGCAGCAGCGGCGCCGCCGACTTCCGCGGGATCGCTTTCCGCGGGGACCGCGAGGACCGGCGGAACCCTCGCCGCGAACGCCGGCATTGCTGGCGGCGCGGCAGGCGGAGCGGAGGGGGGACGCGGCGGCGGACGCGCGCTCCGCAGGGGAGGCACGGGGAGCGGAGTGGGGCGCCCGGGGGGCTGGGTCGGGGGAGGGGGGACGCCGCGGGGGAGGCGGCTTCTGTTGATGGGGTTGAGAGCGGTGGAGGTGGTTTTACTGGTGCAGGTTGTTCTTGTGGCGGCGAGTGTGGTTATGGAGCATCCGTGGTGGGACCTGGCGCATCGATGCAACCGCGCAGCTCGCCACGTGGAGTCGCTGCTGACGCAATCCGCGCTGCAGGTGAGCGGACGGAGTGGGCGGAAGGAGGTGGGCGGAAGGAGGTGGGCGGAAGCAGGTGGGCAGAAGCAGGTGGGCGGAAGCAGGTAGGCGGAAGCAGGTAGGCGGAAACAGGTGGGCGGAAGCAGGTAGGCGGAAGCAGGCGGGCGGAAGCAGGTGCGTGCATGGCGAGAGGGGGAAAACAAGGGGATGGAGGCAAAGATGGGATGGGGGAGAGAAAACAAGTGGGGGTGGGGAAGAAGAGGGGGAATGGGAGAGTGTTGTCGGATGATGTAAACTGCGGGCGGAAGGGGTACAGGATGGGTGGCGAGCAAGGTAAGGAATGCGCTCCGTGGTGGTGATCTGATCTGATCTGATCTGCCCTGTAAATGGTGATCTTTGTACAAGCATCGATGGATGATGGATGAGCACCATTCACAGGGCAGATCAGATGGATGAGCGGTGAATACTGGCTTGTATTGAGGGAGGGAGGGAGGGAGGGAGGGAGGAAGGGAGGGAACGAGGGAGGGAACGAGGGAGGAGGAGGAACAGGGGATGAGTGAGCACAGCACAGGGGTGTGGCTGGGGTGGTGGGGTGCGGGAAGGGCTGTGGGAAATACCTGCTCACCAGCAGCATGAACTCCCCTCTCCATCCCGCCCGCCCATCCGTTCTCCCCCTGTTTTTCGTAAAACACCTTGCTGGCGCCCGAGTGCCTGTTTTGCATGTGACGTCTTCTGAGGCGTCTCAGACGTCCCTTTCTTATTGAGCAGCAACTTGTACCCCCCTTTTTTCCCTTCCGTTATTTCTTTGTCTCTGTTTCGGTGCTCTCCGCCTGCCCTGCAACACCCAGATCCATGCTTTTCAGGTGCCCATGAATCGAGTATGCGAAGCAGCAGCATCAGCAGCATCAGCAGCAGCAGCAGCAGGGAGGGAGGAAGATGGAGCAGCAGGGGCCAATGCAAGTGATTTCAGCAGCAGCAGCAGCAGCAGCAGCAGCCGCAGCAGCAGCAGCAGCTCCTGTTGTCACATACCCTCTCTCGCTTCCTGTCCTTTCCCCCTCTCCTCTTCCTCTGCCCAACTACTCTTTTCTGATCTAGCCTCAGCCACTGCCTTTGCCCGGCCGTTAGTCTCACAACTGGCCTTCGCACAGCAACCCCCCAAATGCAGCATCAGCAGCAGCAGCAGCAGCAGCAGCAACAGCTGCAGTGGCAGCAGCAGCTGCAGTGGCAGTAGCAGCAGAGAGGCACATGGCAGTGCTGTCGGTGCCACTGCTGCAGGAGCACACGTGGTTATGGTGGACCCAGGAGGAGGGGTACTGCGCGTGTGTGACCCTGTCCTGGGGCTGCCTCCGCCCCTCCCCTTGGATAATCCTGCTGCTGCTGATGCTGCCGGTGCTGCCGCTGGTGGTGCTGCCGGTGCTGCTGCTGGTGCTGCTGCTGGTGCTGCTGCTGGTGCTGCTGCTGGTGCTGCTGCTGGTGCTGCTGCTGGTGCTGCTGCTGGTGCTGCTGCTGGTGCTGCTGCTGGTGCTGCTGCTGGTGCTGCTGCTGCTGCTGCTGCTGCCGGTGCTGCTGCTGCTGCTGCTGCTGCTGGGCGCACATAGCACGAGCTTGTGGCGTTTCTCTGTGCTTCTGCACCAGGTCCAGCAATTAGAGCAGCAGCAGCAGGCAGAGGAACAAGTGAGGACAGAAGAGGCTGAGCGGGGCTGGATTGAGAATAAGCCAGGATCAGGTTCATCATCCTCATCAGCAGCACCAGCAGCACCAGCAGCACCAGCAGCACCAGCAGCACCAGCATCACCTGTATCCGCATCAGTATCAGCGTCAGAATCAGGGGAGCGACCAGAAGCACCAAGCGCACATACAGCAGACTGCCATGGCAACACAGCCTCTTGGAGACAACAGAGACACTCAGACTCAACTGAAGCTGAATTCTTCCTCCTCCTGGCCGTTCCTCTCAATGGCACTGCATGTTGTGCCTCGCATGCTCCCATGCACTGCACCGTAACCAGCAGCAGCAGTACCAGTACGACCAGCAGTGGCAGTGTCAGCAGCCGCACTGACAACAACCCTTCTGCACCACCAGCAGCAGCAGCAGCAGCAGCAACAACAATCACCAGAGGTACTAACTGTGGCAGCGGGTGGTTGTTAGGAGTCGTTTCCCCCCACCAGATTCTCTCATCAGCTGTAGCAGCAGCAGCAGCTGGGGCAGGAGGAGCAGGAGCAGCAGCAGGAGCAGCAGCAGCACAAGGGCTCTACAATCCCTCCTTCGCCCCTCTCTCCCTCTGGCTTTACGCATCTGCTCCTCCCCCGCTCCTCTCCCCTTCTCCCACTCACTCCCCCTCTCACTCCTCCTCTTACAGCAATCACTGGAATGATCGTGATCCTGACCCTCCCCCTCCCCCCTATCCTCCTCCTGCATTCTCTCTCCATTCCCCCCCTTCACCTCATCCCTCCGGGAGCCTCCTTACCGGCCCTAACCGCGCTGTTCTGTTAGCCTCAACAGATGGGAGCGGAAAGGTGAAGGCCCGAAGGAAGCAGCGGCAGCGCAAGCGGCAGCGGCGGCAGCGGCAGCAGCGGCAGCAGCAGCAGGAAAAGGAGAAAGGTGATGGGTTGAGGGAGGGAGAGGGCAGCAAGGGTGCTGCTGACTCTGCCTCCGCCACTGATGGTGGTGGTGGTGGTGGTTCCTTAGCAGCAGGCTCAGCAGGGGCAGCAGATGTACCACACACTTGTGCCGCAGCAGCCCTTGATGATGGCAACACATCATGCACCAACAACACATCATTGGATACTACTGATACATGCCCTTCACAAGGGAGCCGCCCACCAGGCACCCAGCAGCAGCGCCATCACACACCCAGCAGCAGCAGCAGCAGCAAGCCCCACCAGGCTAACCTTTCCCAGGAGCATCTGCAGCAGCAGCAGCAGCAGCAGCAGCAGCAGCAGCAGCAGCAGCAGCAGCAGCAGCAGCAGCAGCACAACTCTGCAAGCACCCTGTTGAGTTCCAGTGACCCTTTCGTGACTAGTATCCTGAGTCGAGTCCTCAGCCTGCTGCCTTTTCCGGTTTCTTTCTCCCCATTCCACGGCCGAGTGGGCGTTTCCCTCTCCCTCCCCACCTCCATTCACATCCCCATCCCCTCTCCCACTCCCATTTCCTCGCCCGCTCCCACGCCCACTCCCACTCCCACCCCCACTCCCACCCCCGCCCCCACCCCCACCCCCGCTGCCAAATCCGGTGCTGAATCCTCCCCCCCTCACCGCCACCTTTACCCCCTCCCCCGCCCCTCCCCCTCCCCTCCACCGTCCTCCACCTCCGCTGCTCCTACAACCCACCCCTCCTCCTCCTCTCCCCGCTCTTCCCCTTCTCCCTCTTCCGCCTCTCGTCCCTCCTGCTCCTGCTCCTCCTCTTCTCCCTCCTCGCGTCCTCCCTGCGCGCGGGCACGAGGAGAATGGAGCTGTTGGAGAGGATGTACGCGCATGCCAAGGTGGTTCATAGAGAGCTCATGGCCGCCAAGCATGCCGCTGAGACCGCTGCCAGCTGCAAGAGTGAGTATTATTACCAACAACCACGTGCAGGTCTGGTGCGGTTTGCTGTTGTCTGGTCTGGTCTGTTCCAGTGCGGTCGTGTGTCTGGTCTGGTCTGGTGTCTGGTGTTGAGTGGGCCTGCCCCTTCCTGCGAGGAGGAGAATGGAGCTGTTGGAGAGGATGTACGCGCATGCCAAGGTGGTTCATAGAGAGCTCATGGCCGCCAAGCATGCCGCTGAGACCGCTGCTAGTTGCAAGAGTGAGTGGGTCTGTCGCTGATACTCACATGCAGGTTTGGTGTGGTGTGGTGTGGTGTGGTGTGGTGTGGTGTGGTGTGGTGTGGTATGGTGTGGTGAGTGGCTGTGGCACTGGTCTCACTTAGGCATGCAGAGACGGCTGCCACCTGCAAGAGAGCGTGAGTGAGTGCCTGCCACTTTGTTCTGCTCCAGGCAAAGACTAAGTGGTTGAGAACTCTGATTCACATCACACACCAGTTGTGACTGAGAGTTGTTAACGGTTCTTTCTCTTTCTGTGCCGTGCTCTGCCCAATCACCACGAGGACCTGAGTGTATTCAAGCCCTTCCCCCTGTGGTGTTCTGTGGTGTTCTGTGGTGTTCTGTGGTGTTCTGTGGTGTTCTGTGGTGTTCTGTCGTGTTCTGTGGTGCTCTGTGGTGCTCTGTGGTGCTCTGTGGTGCTCTGTGGTGTCTGTGCTGCTGTGCCCCATGCCCCACGTGCAGGCCAGTTCCTCGCCACCGTCTCACATGAGATCCGCACTCCCCTCAATGGTGAGTCGTCCATCCCATCCCGCGAGCCATCCACCCACCCCAGTTTCCAATGCCAATGACTTTGAATGAGCCGGCCCGTGCCAAAGGTCTAGTTTTGAGGCGCCTCAAAACTTGACTTTGAAAGAGCCGGCCCGTGCCAAAGGCCATGCTCTGTGATTGTCTGTTTTTGAGTCGACTCCGTGTTTCATGCTCAAGAACAGACTCATCCAATATGTCAAGCTGTCAGCAGCACAACCCAATGCTTCTCCCCTTCGCTCTCTCGCCCTAGCCATTCATATCCCCGCCTGTTCCCACCCCATCCTGCCCTCCTCCTGGCCTTGTCCCACCGCCTCCCTCCACATCTCTTCCCACCACGGGCCAGGCGTGTTGGGCATGCTGTCACAGCTAAGGGACACGCGGCGAGGCGCCGTGCAGCTGGAATGGTCTATGTGCATGCACGGCAGGGTCCAGTGCAGGATGTCCCTAGTGCTCCCACCCTCTGTCCCCCCAACCCCCACGCCAGGCGTGCTGGGCATGCTGTCGTTGCTTAGGGACACGCGACTAGACGCCGTGCAGCTGGACTACGTGCAGACTGGCATCTGTTTCTCTGCCCCCCTCTCCCCACAACCCCCTTTTCCTCTCCAGGCGTGCTGGGTATGCTGTCCTTGCTAAGGGACACGCGACTAGACGCGGTGCAGCTGGACTACGTGCAGACGGCCCGATCCAGTGGGCGCGCGCTCATGCCCCCCTCCCCCTCCCCCTCCCCCATCTCCCCCCCATGCACCAGGCGTGCTGGGCATGCTGTCGCTGCTGCGAGACACTCGATTAGACGCGGTGCAGCTGGACTACGTGCAGACGGCTCGGTCCAGCGGGCGCGCACTCAGGCCCCCCTGCCCCCTCACCTCCTGTCGCACTTGCCCATTCTCTGCCCTCCCCACCCCACACTACCAGGCGTGCTGGGCATGCTATCGTTATTAAGGGACACGAGGCTAGACGCCGTGCAGCTGGACTATGTGCAGAGTGGCCTCTGTTTCCCTCCCGCCCCTTGACTCCCCCCCCCCCATTTCCACGCCAGGCGTGCTGGGCATGCTGTCGTTACTAAGGGACACGAGGCTAGACGCCGTGCAGCTGGACTATGTGCAGAGTGGCCTCTGTTTCCCTCCCGCCCCTTGACTCCCCCCCCCCCATTTCCACGCCAGGCGTGCTGGGCATGCTGTCGTTACTAAGGGACACGAGGCTAGACGCCGTGCAGCTGGACTATGTGCAGAGTGGCCTCTGTTTCCCTCCCGCCCCTTGACTCCCCCCCCCCCATTTCCACGCCAGGCGTGCTGGGCATGCTGTCGTTACTAAGGGACACGAGGCTAGACGCCGTGCAGCTGGACTATGTGCAGACGGCTCGGTCCAGCGGGCGCGCACTCATGGTTCTCATTAACGATGTGCTCGACTTCTCCAAGGTGGAGTGCGGTGGGATGCGGTTGCCACTGGTACTGGGATGGGGTGGGGTTCTTGCCAGAAGGAGCGTGGCAGCAGCACAGGTGGTAGGTGCTGGTATTACCCTCTCTGCCTGCTGCTCCGTCCAGTGGCCGCGTTTTGAGGCGCCTCAAAGGCAGCCCTTACGGTTGTAGTCTACAAGCTCTTTTGAGGCGCCTCAAAAGGCAGTAGCAGCACAGGTGGCAGGTGCCGCTGGTATTACCCTCTCTGCCTGCATGGGCAGAGGGCCTGGTGGCGGTCCAGTGGTCACGCACTAAAGGTGCGTGCATGCATGCATGCTGTTTCTTTTGAGTCGACTCAAAGGCCAGTGGCCGCGCACTAAAGGTGCGTGCATGCATGCATGCTGTTTCTTTTGAGTCGACTCAAAGGCCAGTGGTCGCGCACTAAAGGTGCGTGCATGCTGTTTCAAGTGACTGTCGCTGGCCCGCCCTGTCCCCCTCCCCTCCTCCTCCTCTCCCCACCTTCCTCACCTCCCCGCCCCTCCCCTCCCTGTCAGATCGAGGCAGAAAAGATGGAGATAGAGCGCGTGCTGTTTGACCTGCGCGTGCCCACGTGATTAAAGAAGTGTTTTGAGACGTCTCAAAACACCGTTTGACCTGCGCGTGCCCACCCTTTCTCCCTCCCTTTCCACCTCCCTCACTCCCCTCTCCCCCTCCCCCACACATCCACACCCCCGTCCCTCCCCTGCCCCCCACCCCGACCTCAGATCGAGGCGGACAAGATGGAGATAGAGCGGGTGCCCACCCCTTCTCCCTCCTCTCTTCCCCTCTCCCTTCCCCCCCTCCCCACACTCTTCCCCCAACCTCAGATAGAGGCGGACAAGATGGAGATAGAGCGCGTGCCGTTTGACCCGCGCGTGGAGGTGGACGATGTGATGGGCATGTTCAGCGAGCGCGTGCGCGCCAAGCAAGTGCACCTCGCCTCGCTCGTCGCCCCCGCCGTGCCCGACATGCTGCTGGGGGACCCGGGGCGCTTCCGCCAAGTGCTCGTGAACCTGATAGGTGAGTGAGACGGCTGCTCCTGAGGCGCCCCTAAGCATTCGCGGGTAAAGAGACGGGCTGGCTTGACGTGCCTGGAAACCCGACGTGCTGCTGGGGGACCCGGTGAGGTTCCCCCAAGTGCTCGTGAACCTCATTGGTGAGATGGGAGAGGGGTGAGTTGGTGAGATGGGGAGGGAGACGGGTGTGTGTGTGTGTGTGTGTGTGTGTGTGCGTGTGTGTGTGTGTGTGTGTGTGTGTGTGCGTGTGTGTGTGTGTGTGTGTGCGTGTGTGTGTGTGTGTGCGTGTGTGTGTGTGTGCGCGTGTGTGTGTGTGTGTGTGTGTGTGTGGTCGAGGGATGGACCAGGTGTGTGTGTCGTGCGTGCTGATTAGCGGACTCACATGCACGCGCGCACACAGAACGCAGTACAACGCGTGCTGATTCGTGTTTCTTGACTCGACTCAGAAGCCGCCAAGCAAGTGCACCTCGCCTCGCTCGTCGCCCCCGCTGTGCCCGATTCGCTGCTGGGTGACCCGTAACCGGGGCCGCTTCCCCCAAGTGCTCGTGAACGATGATATGAGTGCGAGATGGGTGTGTGAGAGATGGCAGAGGGTACAGGGGAGAGGGGGTTAGTGCTTCTGATAAAGTTCCAGACGTAATCCGTCAACGTTGGGGACAAAGTGTTTCCTCTCCTTTGCCCCTATGTAACGTTACCTCACTGCCCTCTTCATTCCCCTTTCTTCCACTCCCCTGTCTCTCCCCTGTCTCTCCACTGTCCCTCCACTGCCCCTCCTGTGCCCCCTTCCATACCCCCTCTCCTCCCCTCCTCTCCCCTCTCCCCACCTTTCCATTTCCTCGCTACATCACATCAAAACAGGCAATGCGACCAGATTCACAGACAGAGGTCACATTCTGGTCATCACCCGCTTTTGAACAGACTCAAAAGCTCCTCCTCTACTCCTCCCCTGCCCTCCCCCCTTCTCCCCTTTCCCCACCTTGCCGTCTCCTCTCTCCATCCCAACAGGCAATGCGACCAAGTTCACGGACAGAGGTCACATTCTGGTCACCATCCGCGTTATAAGCTTCTCTGAGAACCTGGATGAGACGCACGAGGAGAGCTTTGCAGGCAGGGCAAGGCAGGGGGCGGCGGGCAGGGGGCGCGGAGGGGCGTGGGGGGGAGGGCCCGGAGGGGATGAGAGGGAGGGGAGGCGAGGGATTGAAGAGATAGAGGAAGAGGAGGAGGAAGAGGAGGAGGAGGAGGAGGAAGAGGAGGATGAGCTTTTGAGGGAGTTGAGTTGGAGGGAGCGGGATGGGAGGAGTAAGGAGGGAATTGCTGGAGGAACGGGGGGTTTAGGAGGGGGAATGGCAGGAGGGGGAAGCAACTATGGGAGGGTTGTTGGGGGGAAGTGGGGGGGGGAGGGTGTGGTTGGAGGCCTGGCACACGGGGGAGGCCTGATGGGTTCTGGGGGGAGGGGCAGCAGCGGCAGCGGTGGTTGGAGGAGTTTGGAGGGGGTTAGACGGGAGGAGAGGGGTGTGGGAGGAGTGGCGAGAGAAGGAGGGTACCGGAGGGGAATGGAGAGGGAGAGGGAGCGGGAGAGGGAGAGGATGAGGGAGAGAGAGAGGGAGAGGGATGACTTGTGGGTTGTGATTGGGGGGAGGAGGGTGTGTGATACGCTGAGTGGTCTGCCTACGGCTAGTACTGCACACACATGGGGGAGAATGAAGGAGTGGGTAGAAGGGAAGGAGGGAGCGGTGGAGGAAGGAGAGGAGGGAGAGGAAGAGAGAGAGTTGGAGGGAGAGGGGGAAAGAGAGGAGGAGGGAGAGCAGGTGGAGCGAGGGTCGGGAAGGGAGAGGAGAGCGCGGCAGAGTGGGAGAGGGAGGGGAGGAGGGAGAGGAGAGAGGGAACGACACAGCCAGGAGGGGATGGGAGGGCAGAATGGGTATGAGGAAGGGGAGGAGGAGGGGGAGAAGGAGGAGGAAGGGGAGAGGGAGAGGAGGAGGGAGGTGAAAGGTGCTCGTCGGATCAGACTGGCTGTTGCAGTGGAGGACACTGGCGTGGGTGAGTGCAACAGGGGGATCTCAGCGATGTGGGTGGGTGGGTGGGTGGGTGTTATGTGGTTGCTGGGTGGGTGGGTGGTGACCTGGTACGTTTTCACATCCTCAGTTTCTCGAGCATGCTTGTGTGCATTCTTGAGATGAGATGTCTCTAAAAGCATGCGTGTGTGCATCGTAGTGCAATCATACGCGGATGCATGCAGGCGCACAGAGAGCAGGGCATATGCCCCCTCTGCCTCCTCTCTCCTCTCTGTTCCCAACAGGCATAGCACCGGACGTGCATGTGCGCATATTCCAGCCGTGGATGCAGGCAGACAGCAGCACCAGCAGGCGGGCAGGCGGCACCGGCATCGGCCTCACCATCTCACAGCGCCTCGTCAGTCCCTCCCCTCTCGCCCTCCCTCTCGCCCTCCCTTTCGCGCTCCCTCTCTCTCCCTCCCTTCCTCTCGCCCTCCCTCTCGCCCACCTCTGTAGCATTTTCCATTCCCATTGCCCTCCCCTCCACACTCCCCCCTCCCTCCCACCCTACCGTCATTTTCCTCCCTTGCGGCAAGTCTGTGTGCTTCCCTGCCTGCCTCTCCTTATCACCCGCCTTCGAACAGTCACCAGCCTGTCTTCTGTTCGCTTCCATCTCGCGTCATCTACCCCTCTCGTCTACCCCCTCCCATTCCCCCTCAACGTTCTCTTCTCCCCTCTCTTTCCCTCTTCTCCCCTTTTTTTTGTCCTCCCCTCTCATCCCCTCTTCCCCCTCTTTCTCAATTCCCCTCCCCCGTCGTTCTACCCTCCTCCCTGTTCCATCCGTCCCTCCTCCTCCCTCTCCTCCCTCCCCTCCCTCTCCCGCCTTCCCTCCTTTGCGCATCGCGATTCGCATCCCCCCTCCTGCCCTTCTACCCCCCCACGGCAGGTCTCCCTAATGGGCGGTTCGCTGGGGCTCAAGTCAACAGTAGCCGTGGGCAGCACCTTCTATTTCGACCTCTTCCTGCACGCCCCCACCTCCACCGTCGCGCCCTTCATTGCAGCCTCCTCCTCCTCCGCCTCTCTCTTCCACCAGCCCGCCCCCGCTTCCGTGCAATCCCTCTCAGCAACAGCGGCAGGAGCCGCAGGAGCCGCAGCCGCAGCAGGAGTAGCAGCAGGAGCAGCAGCAGCAGCAGCAGCAGCAGCAGCAGCAGGAGGCGCAGGAGCGATCCCCCCTGTACCACCCTCCTCTGCCGCGCCTCCCTCCGCTTCCCCTTTCCCAATCCTCCCTCTCCCAGCAGACCTCACAGACCTTCCCTTCCTGCAGCGGCTCAAAGGGCTACACGCCTTGGTGGTGGATGCAAACCGGGTGCAGAGAGCCGTGCTGCAAGCACATTTGGTCCGTTTGGGTCTGCTCGTTTCTATCCTGGATCAAGTCAGCCTTCCGGCCTCTCTTTCACACCAGCAGCAGCAGCAGCAGCAGCAGCAGCAGCAGCAGAATCAGCAGAATCAACAGTATCAGTACCAGCAGCAGCAGAGCAAGCAGCAGCAGCAGCAGCAGCAGCAGCAGCAGCAGCAGCAGCAGATTCGGGTGGGTCCCTCCGGTTTCCTGTTCTCGCTTTCCCCTTCACCATCCGCCTCCTCCGTTTCCTCTCCCTCCTCCTCTGCTGCTGCCTCCACCCTTGTTCCCTCTTCTTCCGCCTCTCCTTTCGCAAGACCTAATGTCACTTCACAAAGTATACGCACACAGGGAGGCCTGGGAGGGTTTTCGGTTGAAACTTCACAGCAGCAGCAGAATGTTATGAGTTATTCCAGTAGCAGCAGCAGCAGCAGCAGCCACAATCAAGTCAACGGTTCTGGTGGCATGTTTAGTGGTGGTGCTTTGAGTGTTGCTGGTGGCGGTGGGAGGAGGAGCAGCATGAGCAGCGTAAGGAGCGTTAGCACCAACAACACCGGCACCAACACTGCTATCGCTGGTGCTGCCAATGCTGCTGCTGCCAGTGCTGCCGGTGCTGCTGCTGTCAGCGCCACTCTGGGAGATCAGACCCTCTTTTCTACTAACACAAGCGGACAAGCACAATCACAAGCACAAGCGGCAGCAGCAGCAGGAGCAGGAGCAGCAGCAGCAGCAACAGGCGACCGGGATGTAACAGCATGGCTGCACCAGCAGCAGTGGCAGCAGCGGCTGCTGGGAGTGGGGGGGAAGAAAGCAGCGGTGGTGGCAGGATCCGCTGGGTTGAGACTAGGGTTTGTAGAGGTGGGGCAGGTGGAGGTGGTTGGGGGTGCTGCTGCTTCGGCAATGATTGGAGGGCTAGGCGGAGGGGGAATGGGGGGAGTGGGCGGAGGCGGGCGGGGAGGGGGGGTTGATGCGGGTGGAAGAGGAGTAGGAGTAGGAGGAGGAGGAGAGGGGGGAGCAGGTTGTGGTGGTGGGGGGAGAGTGAGGGGGGAGGGAGAGGGGTGGGGAACAGGAGGAGGGGGAGGAGGAAGGGGAGGAGAGGGGGTGTTGATGTTGAATGGGGGTGGTATAGGGGAGGATGGGGGAACAGACGGAGACATGGGGATGGGGATGGGAATGGGAATGGGTATGGGGATGGGGATGGGTATGGGTGGGGGTTACAACCCCCCTCCGCCAAAGAAATTTGCAACTTACGACTCTCAAACCCTCAGGAGCATTCAAGCACAGGCAGCGGCGGCAGCAGCAGCAGCTGCTGCAACCTTCAGCACATCTCTTATCCCCATGGGCGGGGGTGCGGGTGGGGAAGGAGGAGGAGGGGGAGGAGGAGGAAGAGGGGAAGGGGAAGGAGGGGTGAGACGCGGGATGAGGGGGAGATATGCTGCAGTGGTGGAGGAGGAAGAGGTGATGTTAAGTTCTCTTGACGCAGCTACTGCTGCTGCAGCTGCCCCTGCTAATGCCACTGCTTCTGCTGCTGCTGCTGCTGCTGCTACTTCTACTGCTAATTCTTCTGCTGCCCTGGCTAATCCTGCTGATGCGCCTGCCAATGCTCCTCCTGCTGCCACTGGCAATGCAGCTGTTCCTGCTGATGCAAATGAGAAGGCACGCACGCAGGCGAGAGGGAAGGGGAGAGCGCTGGTGCGCGCACACACAGCCGTGCCCCGGTCCATGCTGGCTTTCTCAGATGCGGTGGAGAAGGACGTGTTTGAGAATCCCAATCCTGAGAGGCAGGCACAGCGCGCGCACACAGTTGTGTCCAGGTTTAAGCAGTCTATGGAGACGCACTCAAATGAGACTTCTGAGGCGCCTGAAAAGGTGCACACAGAAGTGTCCAGGTTCAACCAGTCCATGCAGACGGTTTCAAATGAGACTCAAATGAGAGTCTCAAATGAGACTGACAAGGACGTGCTTGAGAGTGCTCAAAGAGAGAACCCTCAGCAACGGCCAGCAGCGCGCACAGTTGTGTCCAAGGCCATGCACACGTTCTCAGATGCGTCTTCTGAGGCGCCTCAAAAGTCGCGCACAGTTGTGTCCAGGGCAATGCATACGTTCTCAGATACGATCGGGAAGGAGAGTGAGAGGCTCTCGGCGTTGAATGCGGTGCTGCCGGGGACTGGAGGGGCTGTGATGGCGCAGAGGGGGTTGATTGCGCAGCAGGGGCGGCTGCAGCAGCAGCAGGAGCAGGGGCTGGGAGTGTGGGAGAAGGGTGATGGGCGAGAGGGGCAGGAGCAGAAAGGGAAGACTGGGAAGGTTGAGGAGGTGAGCGATGATGATGATGAGAAGAGCCAAAGGAGGGAGATGGAGGATGGGGAGGGGAGCGAGGGAGAAGAGGAAGAGGAGATTGAGAAGGAGAGTACAATGGAGGGAGAGAGTGGTGGTATGGAGGGAGAGAAGGAGGAGCGTAAAGAGGGGGGGGGAGAGGAGGAGGAGGAAGGAGAGGAGGAAGGAGAGGAAGAGGAGGAAGAGGAGGAGGAGGAGGAGGAGGAGGGGACTGAAGCAGAGGGGCAGTCCGTGTCTAAGGGAGGCGGGATGAGTAACGGAAGGGAGCATGCAGCTGGGAGAACTGGTGATGCAAGAAAGCGGGAGGAGAAGCGGGAGGAGAAGCGGGAGGAGAAGCGGGAGGAGGACTCATTGCAAGACCAGGACTCTGTTGGTAAAAGGGTTGGCAGCAAGAGCAAAAGCAGCAGCAGTGCCAGCAGTGCCAGCAGTAGCAACAGCCTGACCACTACAAACAGCAGCAGCAGCTTCAGCAGCGGTGGCGGCGGCGGTTCTGGTGCTGGCAGGATCGTTAGTAGCAGCAGTGGCAGCAGCAGCAGCAGCAGCAGCAGCAGCAGCAGTCTGAGCACTCTGTTGTCGTCTGTGGCTCAGCGCGAGCAGCAGCAGGGCAGCACTGGCACTCTATTTGATGTCCTGCTCTCCAACACTCGTGGTAGCAGCAGCAGGAATAGCAGCTGTGCTCATACCACCACCACCACCACCACCAGTACCACGACAACCACCAGCAGCAGCACCAGCACCATTGCCACCACAACTGACACTGCTGCCTGTCACAGGGACAGCAGCACCAGTGCGGCCGCTGCTGATGCTGCTGGTGCTGCCGATGCCCCTGTTGCTACTCTTCCCCCCTCCGTTTCCCCTCCTCCCGCCCCATCTCCCGCCCCTCCTCCCGCCCCATCTCCCGCCCCTCCACTTGCAACCACCCCTCTACTCCCCACACCTCCTCCCCCCACTCCTCCCCCCACCACCACTCTCCCAACCGCCACGCCTCTCACCACCCCGCGCACCCTCCCAGCCACTCCCACTCCCCCTCCCCCCCCCACCACCACCACCACCACCACCATCACCACCGCCAGCACCACTCCTCCACCAATATCCGTGATCCTAATAGACACAGACACTCCCAACTGGCAATTCTCCCTCGCAGCCATCCGCTCCAACCGTCTCTTCACACGCTGCCCCGTCGTCCTAGTAGTCGCCCGCACCGGTCCCGAAATAGAAGGCGTAGCAGCAGCAGCAGGCGTGGCAGTGCTGCTGCTGAAGCCGCTGAGGAGAGCGTCGGTGGGAGCAGCGTTGGTGCAGGCGCTGGGGCTGTCTCGGCTGGATTCGTCGCATGTGGCGAACCCGGGGGTGCCCGTGGGGGCGACTGTTGCGGAGAAACTGCAGCAGATGATGCGGGGGAAGCGGATTCTGTGTGTTGATGACAACATGGGTGAGTGGATGGGTGATGATGTGGGTAATTGGGTGGATGAAAGGGGGAAGGGGGAGGGGAGAGTTGGTTGAGGATGCGGGGGAAGCGAATTCTGTGTGTGGATGATAACATGGGTGAGTGGGCCGGGAAAGAGAGGGGGGGGGGAGAAAAGGGGGATGCAGGGAGGGGGATGCAAGGAAGAAGGGACTATTGTGTGGGGTTTTGAGATGGCAGATGATGCGAGGGAAGCGGATCCTGTGTGTTGATGATAACATGGGCGAGTGGATGGATGGCAGCATGGGTGGGTGACGAGGAAACTCGACCCTTACCCTCTGTTTTTCTCTCTCCTGTGCCCCCTACCGTTCCCCCACTCTCTGTTCTTCACTTTCCCGCCCATCCTCCCCCCCCTCCGCCCTGCTCTCCCTGTTTCCCCACGGCCTTGCCTCCCCGCTCTCCCCCATAGGCGGTCAACCTCAGGGGTGCCTGCAAGATGCTGCCGTCGACGCCTCTTCCTTACACCCTTCTCCCCGTCTCCCCTTTCCCCCTTCCCGTGTCCAATCGCACCCCGCTTTTCCCATTACCGCGCGCCCCTTATTCCCCCCTTCCCCCTCCCCTTCTCTCCCCCGCATGCAGTGAACCTGAGGGTGGTCTGCAAAACTCTGTCCAGCTTCACTCCCATTCCCATTTCCTCCCCAATCTCTCCTCCTCTCCTATCCTCCCCTGACTCCCCCCCTCTCTCTCCACCCCCCGTGCAGTGAACCTGAAGGTAGTTTGCAAGATGCTGTCTAATCCCATTTCCCATTCCCATCCCCCTCTCCTCCTCACACCACCTCTCCCCTCTCCCCCGTGCAGTGAACCTGAGGGTGGCGTGCAAGATGCTGTCCAAGTACGGTGTATCCACCGCCACCGCCTCCAGTGGCCAGCGCGCGCTACAGCTGCTACAGCCGCCGCACCAGTTTGACCTGGTCTTCATGGACCTGCAGGTGGGGTGGGACGACTGTGTGGTTCAATTCACTGTTGAGATTGAAAGGCATGCCCCTCCTCCTCCTGTCCATCCACTGCTACAGCCGCTACAGCTGCTACAGCCGCCGCACCAGTTTGACCTCGTCTTCATGGACCTGCAGGTGGGTTGGGACGACTGTAGAGCATATGTGCCTCCTATCCACTGCTACAGCCCCACAGTAGTCGCTACAGCCGCCGCACCAGTTTGACCTGGTCTTCATGGACCCTGCAGGTGGGTGGGGCGACTGTGGAACACATGAGCCCGTATTCACTGCTAACAGTAGTCGCTACAGCCGCTACAGCTGCGACAGCCGCTACAGCCGCTACAGCTGCTACAGCCGCCGCACCAGTTTGACCTCGTCCTTATGGACCTGCAGGAGGGGTTCTTTCTTGCGTAGGAATAGAATGGATTTGAGCGTTGAGAGAGGGACAATGGCTACTTGGCTGTAGGGGCCCCGTATCCTCTGCTACAGCCGCCGCACCATTTAGACCCTGACTTTACTGACTGCATGTGCGTGCGGTTTGGTTCGAGACGCTTATGTTTGTGTTTGTTCAGGGTGCCGGGTGTGTGCTAGGGTGTTCTTAAGTGTCATGCCTCTTGCCTAGTATTGATGTTGATTGTTGGTATTTTGTGGAGGGTGGTTGCATGTTCAGGTTGCTTGTTGGTATTTTGTGGAGGGTGGTGCTTTCAGGTTGGTACAGAGGGATGGGATGGGACGGGCCAGGGTCGCAGACTTGTTGCCTTGACTGAGCTTACACTCTTGCGTCTCGTGGTTTTTTTTGCGTGGATGTGTGCTGCGCATGTTTATGTGCGTGCATGTATGCATGTGCATGTGTGTCCGTGTGTGTGTGTGTGTGCGTGCATGGGTGCGTGCGTGCATGGGTGCATGTGTGCGTGCCTGCGTGCGTGCGTGTGTGCGCGTGTGCGCATATGTGCTTGTGTGCGTGTGTGCACTTGAACATCCATGTGTGCATGTCCGAGTGTGTGTGCTTGTGTATGTGTGCATGTGTGCATGGTGTCCTCTCCCCATGCATGCCCATGGATGGATCGGTGGATGCAAACCCTGAAAACGCGTTTCAACTGCCCTGTATCCACCACACTCCTCCATCTATGTTCGCCCCTCTTTGCTGCCGCATACAGATGCCTGAGGTAAGGCTGTCCATCCTCTCCCATCCTCTCCCATCCTCTCCCATCCTCTCCCATCCTCTCCCATCCTCTCCCATGCTCTCCCATGCTCTTCCATGCTTTCCCATGCTCCCCTCCTCCCATGTTTTTCTTCTCCTGTGCTCTCTCCCATGCTCTCCCATGCTCTCCCATGCTCTTCCATGCTCTCCCATGCTCTTCCAGGCTTCGTACATGCATGCGTGCATGCTCGCACCACCATGTTTCCATGCGTTCCTGACCGCTCTCATCCAACCCCCTTTGTTGCTCCCCTCCTCCCTCCTCCCCATCTAAATCCCATTCTATCACCATCCCAACCGTTCATACCTCCTTTCCGCCATGCCACATTGTTTCATGCCACACCCTGCCATGCCATATTCTGCCATGCCACGCCATGCCATGCCACACCGTGCCGCACCATCCCACACCGCACCCTGTGCAGATGGACGGGTACGAGACATGTCGCAGAGGGAGGCAGCTGGAGGAGCAGCACAAATCCCGACGTGTGCCTATCGTTGCCGTACGCCCTCCCTCCTCTCCCTACTCGCTCCCTCTCTCCCTCCTCGCTCCCTTTCTCCCTCCCTCCCTCCCTCCCTCCCTCCCTCCCTCCCTCCCTCCCTCCCTCCCTCCCTCCCTCCCTCCCTCCCTCCCTCCCTCCCTCCCTCCCTCCCTCCCTCCCTCCCTCCCTCCCTCTCCCCCCATTCCTCTCTCCCTTCCTTCCCCTTGTCACTGACTGTTGCTCCCTCCACTTAGTGATTGGTGTTGCTCTCTCTATCCCCCTCCATCCCTCTCAACCCCTCTTGGCCGCTCTCTGTTGCCGCCCAGTTGTCGGCATCTGTGCTCAAGTGCAGCTAGGGAAGTGCTTATTGTTAGAACTGAGCTTCAACTGATACATTAGTAATGAGCTCAAATCTGTTGAAGTACATCCGGAGTAGTGAATCGGTGGGTTGGAGATTGCTTGGCGATCACATTCAGATTTGGTTGGGATGTGGGTGTACACCTAACCAAGCACAACTACACTACGCTAGAATATAAAAGTACAAATACAACAGTTGAGACTGAGGGCTATCTTATATACCAAACCTACCTCTCTCCACCCCTTTCCACTGCTCTTTACCACTCTGTGTTGTGGCCAGTTGACAGCGGACGTGCTGAAGGGCACCAAGGAGAAGTGCAGTCAAGCGGGCATGGATGGGTGAGTCAAGGCAGGCGGCGAGTGGTTGGGTGGGGGGAGAATGGGAGGAGATCACGAGCGCATAGAGAAGGATGAGTGCAGTCAAGCGGGCATGGATGGGTGAGTCAAGGCAGGCGGCGAATGGGACATGGGGGCAGGGGGGCATGGGGGAATGGGGGCATGGGGAGGGGGATTGGAATGAACCAGGGTATGGGCATGTGTATGGGCATGGGCCTGGGAATGGGGAAGGGAGGGGAAGTGAAAAGGGATGAGAGTCTATGAGCATTCAGTGTGTTCTGGTTCAGGTGCATGGCATGGCATGGCATGGCATGGCATGGCATGGCATGGCAAGCACGTCTTGTGAGTAGAGGAGTGAGTAGCCTTTAACCGATCATGAACACAACACACTTTCATACACCCCATCCTTCCTCACATCCCTCTTCCATTCCACACCACACCGTTCCACACCTCAGCACACCACACTTCACCATACCACACTTAACTCCATCTCACCGCACCGCACATCAACTCACCCCACCGCACCCCACCTGCAGGTACATCACAAAGCCCATTGACCCCAACGACCTCTACACCATGATGCTCCGGTTCTTCCATGCCAGACCCACATGAGGATTTAAAAAGCATATCTCTTCTAGCAGCAACAGCGGCAGCAGCAGCAGCAGCAGCAGCAGCTGGAGCAGCAGCGGCAGCAGCGGAAATTTTTACAGTCAGGAGGAGCAATCCGTGCATAATTCAGAGTACTAATACCGTATTATGATTCCCAGTTCAATATGACTCCTGGGTTCTGGGCACAGCAGCTGGTGCAGCTTACTTAGCAGCCTCCTATTGCGGCGCTTCAAGAACCAAAGCTGCCATTCCCAAATCAACTTGGGTCTTGGATTCTGCGCACTGCAACTGGTGCAGCTTACTTACTAGTAGCAGCCTATTTTTGAGGCACCTCAAGAAACAAAGCTGCCATTCCCAATTCAACACCGCTCCTGGATTCTGGACATTGGGAAACTGGTGATGCAGCTAACTTAGCAGCCCACCCACCAATCCTAGCACATGCAGGACCTGCCTAGTGATGCCTAGAGGGTGTCTGTAAGAAAAGCGCCATAAGGTGCCATACATATATGCATGCATGCATGCGTTACATGCATGTACATGCTTAAATGTGTGCAGTGTAGCAGGCATTACAGCGGCAATAGACCAGGTAGGCCAAGGCTCCATCCATAGCTACCTGCCATATAGTTACAATGTCTCTGGAAGATTACAGTTGCTGCGCTGGGTCAATGAAATATAGACCGTACTTTCGCCAATTGCTCGTAGACGTTGTGATTAACTTATGTGTAGATATTATTTGCCGGCATTGTGAGCTTGAGGAACCATCCATCACCAATGCAATTGATTGAAGATGAAAGCCATCAGATAACCACTATTTGTGTGTTGATTTTGTACTAAACTGCTGTGGCCATACAATTAACAGAATGCAATATGCAAAAGGTAATTCTTCCATTGAAAAACAGCACAACAGGCAGTCATACCCCCCGCAACCGCAACAGCACGAGCATAAAACGCAGCACCCTCCCCAGCAGCAGCAGGCTTACTCGGCATCCTCCTCGCCCTCCTCCTCGTACACGATAGCAGACGGTGGCAGGCGATTGCGGTTCACCTTGAGGTAAGGCATGGCGCCCACAATCTTGTCCAAGTCGCCTCGGAACACCTCAGTCTGCACAGCACACAGAGCGTAGAGCACAGAGCGTAGAGCACAGAGCACAGACCACGGAGCACAGAGCACAGGGTACCATGGGAAAACGGAGCAGGGGGAGGAGGGGGGGTTAATGCGGCAATAGCACAGTGGGTGTAAGGCATGGCGATAGCAATCTTGTCCAAGTCACCTCGGACCACCTCCGTCTGTATAGGTTATCATTGGGGGACGGCTGGAAGGGTATATAAGGGCGGAGAGGATGGGGGCAAGCGGGGAGGGAGGGGAGGGTAGTGTATTAGCGGATATAATCCCACATGATCTTATCCAAGCCGTCTTGGCATACCTTGGTATTCTTCTAAGGACAAGAGTGAACGAAGATGGGGTGAAATGAGTGAAGTAGGAGTATGAACCAGGGGGGCAGGGGGAGGGAGGTGGTGGTAAAAAGTGGAGTGGAGTCGGGAAGAAAGAGAGGCAGAGAGGGAACGCGTGGTGCGCATTGGCTGGCGTGGTTGGGGGAGGGGGGTTGGTGGGGTGGATGGGGTTTTGAGGGAGGGGAGGAGGAGGGCGGCTCAAACGCACGCCGGTTTCCCCACCCTACGTGAAAATCCTTTCAGAATTCCGCAAGGCCTTGCGGGTTTTCATTTTATTCCCATATGATGCATGCGACCCATACACATTTGAACAAACCAGGGCCATACTCACCGAATCACAGAGCCACCGAATTACCGAATCACCACAGCCGTCACTACCCATGACAGCTGCCACGGCCGCACTAGCCTCTCCAAACTCTCCCATTAATCTCCACTGGTATCCCATTATTATCCGAATAACCGCCCACTAGCCTCGCAATCATCTCTCGGTTGGTTCCCTCGCCACGTGACCTTCCAAAAAGCATCTTGGGATCCCAACACCCACAGCAGCTTGAGACGAAGCCCCAAGGTGAGCCCCCAAGGTGAGCCCCCAAGGTGGGTTTCCAAGGTGAGCCCGCGGCGACACGCGAAGAACGTCATGTTCACTTGCTTTCGCTAGCGTCAGCGAACTCCAGCTCCAGTAACCACAGGCGGTCTGATCGTGCGGGCGAGAATGCCCCGCTTCAAAGCCTCCTGAAGAGCCTAATGCAAGCCTATTCACCACGTCAGCCCTTCCTGTAAACTCTCCCTCCTATCCACAATGACGCCTCCCGCCACTCCGTTTCCACTATCCGCGAACCGGAGAAAAATAACAGACACCAAACTAATTCCGGGCAAACCGCGCCGCTACTACGAGCTCCCATACTGCATCCATTGTCACTGTCACAACGGTCCGTTTGCGCCGCTACCGCCACGCCTTTACGCGCGCACGCTAACCGCTGACCACGCGCGCGCGGCCTGCCCACGGTTCCCCCAGTCATGCCTTCAGGCGCCTTTCAAGCCGCTACAGCCCACATTCCTCCGGCGCGTAGAATGTGCAGCCAACACAAAGCTTCGCTGCTTGGCCTGCTCGAAATCCTGTGTACCATCTCTGGGGCTCAAAGGCGCAAAAGCGGCATAGAACCCCGATACAAGCGGCCGCAAAAGGCGACTTTTGAGGCGCCTCGAAAATCGAAATCCTGCGTACCATCTCTGAGGCTCAAATGTGTTCAAATAGAACCCCGATACAAGCCGCCGCAAAAGCTCGAGCTGCTTTTTTTTTCTGTACGTCACTGTGACGCGCGCGCCATTCTTAGCCGGCTTGAAAGGGCGAACTGCCAGTTATGTTTTACGCAACTCCGACGCGCGCAGCCATTCGCGGCACGAGACTTACCATGCCCGCGAGGCGGTTCTTCCGGCGCATGCTCTTCTTGCTCAGCAAATGCGCGCGCCATGCCCGTCGGCGAACCACCTTGCCTGACCCCGTCACTCGGAAGCGCTTGGCGGAAGCCTGGTCAAGAGGAGGGGTGAGGGAGGGGAGGGGGGAAGAGGGCGGGGGGGGGGGGGGGGGGGGGGGGGGGGGACGGGAGGGGGGGGTGGTGAGGGGGACATTTGAGGCGTCTCTGGAATTGTCGGCGCACCACCTTGCCTGACCCCGTCACTCGGAAGCGCTTGGCGGAAGCCTGGCCGAGGAGGGCGGGTGAGCGCGCGCGGCAAGAGGGAGAGGAGATGGCGGCGGGAGCGAAGGGGGAAAACAGTCTCGGAGGATGACATAACGGTGTAGGTGGGGAAAAAGTGAGCGAATGGAGCCCAATGGAAAAAACGATATAAGAAATGAGCGAGGTAAAGTGAAAATATTATTTAAATGGGGAATGAGAGCACAAGGACATTCCAATCGTTGCGAAAGTAAAAGGGGAAAGCAAGAGGGAGAGAGAGGAAGGGCGGAAGCAAAATGAGGTATGACGAGGTCCAATGCGTGGACTTAAAAAGGACGCCGGCTCGTGGAATGAGTGCGAGGTAGGTACGGAGAAAATGGGCAGGGAGCGGGACGGGAAGGGGAGTAGCGAAGTAGATATACGTCAGCACGTTCAAGAGGCGCGTGGTAGCGAAGTAAACCCTTTTTATCCCTACCTTGTGCGTCTTGAGCTTGTAACCTTCCTTCGCCACCACTTTCAGTTGCGTCGACGCCGGTTGCGAAGGCGCATTCACCACGGGAAGCAAATCCGCGACAGGTGAGAACCGAGCCGCAGCGGGCCTCGCGCCGAGAAACGCGGACCGCGAAACTACGCGGCAGGTCTGAGCAGAGGCGGCGCGGCTGGCCGAAGCGCGCACGGACATGGACTGGAACGACGCGGTGAGCGACAGCATGCTGGTCGACGCTGTCGCCGCTGCCGTCGCAGACGACGATAAACACCGCGCGAATGACATGGTCCTCTGCTGATGGAGATCTCGCAGCGAGGAGGTCTAGAGCGCCAAACTCGGCAAGTTGGTCAGTGTCTGAACGAGTTTGGACGAGTTCGAGGAGAGAATGGAAGGGATGGAGAGGTCTGCTGGCTGCGGGGCAGAGAATGGGGGAGGCCGGGGGACAGCTGCTTGCGGAGGTGTGATGTGGAGGGAAGTCGGCTGAAACAACCCGGGGAACGGCGGAAAATGGTGGGGGAATGGTGTAGACAGGGGGAAGGACAGGGCACGTGGAGGGAAAATGGGGGAAAACATCGAGGTTTGGTTGGGTATGACGCGGAAGGGCACCTGCAGCCGCAACCCCCGAGATAAACCCTGTAAGCTCATTGGCGCGCGGAGGACGAGAGCCTGTCGGAGTGGGGAGAGGCGAAAAGCGAACTCATGCACATGTGGTAAGTGAAAGCGCGAGGGGAGAATGCGATGGGTAGGGAGAGCAACGCCACGATGGCATGAAGGATGAGGATGACGTGGAGCAGCGTGAAACATGGAGTCCGGTGGCTACCCTCGGTGGAAGAACAAATTGGCTTGACCATTTCCATATAATCATTCCGTGAAACAATTCAAACAGCAGAAAATAGAGAACCATAGGAAATAGAAAACCATAGATCCAGATATAACACGGAATGGGAGCATTCAGAAGGATATTTGTGTAATTTATCATATTGTTTTTACTAACCACATGAACATCTCATGAGGGTCGAAGGTGATTCTGATAGCTCAAATAGGACACACTTTCATGTTGCATCAAATGATGTGGTTCTCCTACGATTATGAGAGCTATTTCTAACGAGTATTTTTTTGGAAGCTCTGACATTTCTGTACACAACGACGAGACTTCCGCAACTCGCGCCACTGATTGTCGGTCAGTGACCACGAGCCAGAGAAGGTGTTTCTTCACAAAACATTTCCAGGGTTGTGTAGGCACAACAGTTGCCCTCTTACCTTGGGTGGAGTGGGGTGAAGAGGGGAAGAGAGGGGTAATCTCGAAACTTTCCGCGACTCGGCCGAATTCTCCGCGCTTCGCCACGTCGACCATCACCATCGCAGCGCCACGCCAAATTCCCGTGATGCCT